TTAAATGTAGATGTGCTAAGAAATGCAACTGATTCCAGTATAAAACTTGGAGCGTGAGACGAAAGATTTCAGTAAAAAGCAATGCAGTATATCCATCAACAAATTGTCGCCACTAATTGAAGAACAAAAAGCATAACGTAACGGTGATCCCAATAGCGCGACGATTTTAATACTAGTAAGCTAGTCTCGACCATTAGTGGCAAATACTGTGAAGTGTATTTCGAGCTAACTTCCAAATATCAAGACAAAAACCGGCGAAATATTCGCCTCGTTAATTTCTCAGGTGAGCTCAATTCCAGCCGAAACCCTCGGGAACAACCTTAATGATCTTTGCTTCTGAGGGTTGGAGGAATTGAGCACCCTCGGTGTCCTAGGTGCTCTTCAGAATTGGATCATTAGACGCTAGTTTCGGAGGACGTTACGGCGCGAAAATTACCAGGTCCGATTTCGAAGCCTGAAGTAAATTACCGTCAGTGGGGCTAATTTCGCCCCAACTTGCTTCACTGGACAAGCTTGACGGATGAGTTGGCTCCATGGAGGAGAGCTAAATAGCACACACTACATGGCCCTCATTCCCACGAATTTCCGTCGCCCTCGCAGTGTTAATCGAAATCAACAGGAGTTCGGTCCAGTGGGCTCAACCATGCATCAATATTCAGTACAGTACTGTAGGTGCGAACGTAAGCGGAGTTACTGACGATTCGAAATTCAGCAATCGAAAAATTGAGGAAAAGAAAATTAAAGACATGCATCAAGATTTCATGTCCATAGCATCAAAACGTTATTCCATACTTGTTCGGAGTAATTTATTAAAACTCAAATTACGGAGTATTGTTTCACGAGAAAGTTGTTGGACACAAAGAATTTTAAAACTTCATATGGGGATTTCCACCACCGCGTCTTTCAAACTTCGAGAATCGCATTTTTATTCTTCAGATTTTATATTGAACAGAACTTCGCATTTAGCTTTGGCAAGTTGAAAAAATACACCGGAGCGCTGCTTTCCACAACATTGAAGGTGGACGCGTCCACGATTGCCATGGTTGAAATTAATGCCTGGAAAGGAGCCCGAATTTGAATGCATCTATTATACATGTCCGCTCCGCCTCCGGAACAAGCGAGGCGAACCGACTTCGTTCAGAAATACAATACTGAATTTTGGTTAAAGACGGATTCTCGCTTCATTTCGATATGCCAAAAAGCGTACGGTACTGAAAAACCAACAATTTCTTAAAAATTGAAATGCATATCGTAGAAATGCAGGAGACTAGGACTCCCGCTGAGAGAGTCATTTGAATAGCGACCGAGACTATCCAGGAACAACCTGAAAAACACCGACACAATGGTTTCCATTAACGAAACTAGACCATGAACGGCCGCCTTCTAGTCAATTATTGAAATTTTCTCATAGATCCGCCCAAGAACCTTCCTACTTGTGAATATTGAACGTAGTTACTACGCACTATAAACTAGCAAGAAAAAGTGGGGTTCTCACGCAACGCTAACTCCACGCTTTCAAAAGAGGTGACATTTCTGCTTCTTCGTTTCGATCTACTGGCCAACGCGATTTATTATTATGTACTGAGCATGAAAATGCCCATCCCGCAGAAGTCAAGTGCTAAAATGACAGAATGGAAAAAAAGGAAAATGCAATGCTTCAGCGTTGTAAAAATCACACCTTCCGTCCTCCGGTAAAGCTAGCGTGACAGTGGACAGAAAGGAAAGTACTGGTAATGGAATTATGAATCAAAGAGCTATCACATAATGTTGGAAAAAACAAGTACTCAGAAGAATTATTGACTGACCAACGTAGACTTGAGCAAACCTGCAATTGGGCTCCTTGTCGACCCAAGGAAGGAAATGTGTGATCATCATACATATAGACAAGCACGTGACCTTACCATGCAGTATAATTACATCTCTAATCCCGGAAACGGGATCACGGCAATGAAGGCGGTGCTATGAAAAATTCCCCACATCCCGAATCGGAATGTTTCTAGAATGCCTGTCAAAAACATGCGACGCTGTCATTTCGAAGTGGACAAAGAAACCATTCGAGAACTCGCTGCGTATGATTTGGTTATAGCATTTTACCCACGTTCGTTGAGCAAATATTTCAACGAAAACTCTGTACTCGATACAGTAAATCAAATACAGCTACCCACATATATAAAGTTGAACTTCGATAACTCCAACCTCACGAAGCCCCTCATTGACCTCACTACGTAGAATTCTTTCACGTACCTTTCAGAATTCTCATGGAAACAATACACTAAAAGCCCCCCCAACTCGAAGATTTTCCCCATCAAACCTGAGCATATTACATTTTATGAATGCCTTTCGACTACTGTTTTATTGACACAGGTGGGATAAAAGGATTAAAAATGTAACGATGCGTTTTGCAAGGAAGTGAAGGGCTAATCGGGCAAATGCCCCTTGCCTTCAACCTCAGCATCCTGTCGTCTCATCTGAGAAACAGTTTAAGGCCCAGGTTATCAATAAGTGGGTTATCCTGCAATTCTTCTTTCTTCACCACAACTGGAAACCTCCGTAACTCGACTTGTTCTGCTGATTCCTTGAAGTTCGGTTTTAAGAGTTTCGAATGTACAGTACTACAGCACAGTAGCATGATTCCCGAAAGTAAAATATTTTTCATGCACCAATTTTACCTTCGAAAATACACTGGATCTTAGTTCGAATCTTCCTTCGAAAATACACTGGATCTTAGTTTCAGGACATGTCTCCGTTGAAAGGGGGGAATCTGGTCGGATTCTTAAAAGTAAAAGGCCTTCTATGATCATTGAGAAGCTGTATTCAGCCAAAAATTCTCATGGGTATCAGAAAATTGTACTAGGGCTATTTTTACGAATCGGCCACATTACACACGAACAATAAACTACAAATAACGATAACGGAGGTTCGTAAAATTTAATTTCTTCCGTTACGGAAGCCCCCAGCACAGTTGCGGAATAGAATTTACCATGAGACGAGGGCCGATAATAATATTCCCTCCGACATGGATCCAGGAAAAATTTGTAGTTGGGGCGCGAAGATGCCGGCGCACACGGTTAGTGGAACGGTATGACGTCTGCACGAGCGAAAGCGCTTCCTGGTCTAAGAAGAGGCGTGTCCTGAATAAATTTCATTTTTTCAAGACAACCAGCGAGCCGAGAGAGACAAAGCAGCGAAGACAGTCGCGACATGAAGGACAAGCACGGGGTTCCAACGACATGCACGAATCAATGGCCGGGCGATTCCGTCCAGCTTCGCGATGGACGAAGCACGATTCAACTGATCCATATTTCCTGATCCCAATGATCATAAGATGGACTAAGAATACGAATTTGAAACGTCCAATGACGAATAAACTAGTACAGTACATAAAAAATCGAAAGTATTCTTGTTACTGATGCCCTCTCCATCAGGACTCGGTAGTACTGTACCGGAAGGGGACAAACTAATCATGCCAAGATATCGCAGTGATCAGAGGGATAGAAGCGGAATTTCAAGGGACAATTAAAGTCATTTCGTTTTCGTCAAACCAACTTGAATAAAATGATAAAAAGCATTTAAGATGAAAGTTAGGAAAGCTAAGAAAATATTACATATAGGTACGATCTCACGAGGAGGAAAAGACATGAGCAATTATGAATAAAATATTCAGAAGGCAAATTCTTTAGTACATCACGAGGTTATTGTAAAATTCACAGATGCATTTGTATTTACCTTCGTTAAAAAATGCAATTTCCGGTTGTCTGTTAAAATGTATCCATCTACTTGAAGGAGCTTATAACTCGTTCATGAAAGTTCTGACGCATTGATCGTTGGGGAAAATCAGATGCACGAATTACAGTACAATTCGGATCCTTTCTACAGCTTCATTCATTCCCAAAAATTTCACCAGCACAATACAGCACACGATCGCTTTTCGAATGGAGGTCACCCGTCAAATACGCAACGTTAATCCAGAATAGGAACCAGGTCCACTTTCGGACACGAGGTGTACTAAAATTTTCAGCGTTTAATACAGTGCAGTTTTAATTTTCTAGAGCATGATCAGGAAAGCAGCTGTCAGAAACCCAAAATATCATCGATACACGAACATTTCATAAGCCCACCTCTGAACACCAAAAACGTGAACTACAAGACAACAACAAAAAAAGTAAGCTAAGGAGTTGGGAGAAAACGGAATTCCACCCGGAGTTCCGTTCACCGCAAGTTCTTATATCTGCCAAGTCAATTAAGGAGAACGAAGAAGGCACACGAACACTTCCGCAAGTGAAGGTTACGCTTTCTGACCAGTAGACCAGAGAGTCCTCAAAGCCTCTAAGGCAATACCAAGGCTTTCCCGAAGAATTTCGTCAGCTCCCCAGCGGTTGTTAATTCACATTTCCCGTTCGATCGTAAAATGTCGAGCTTAACATCGCTATCGTCCGTTGGAGTAAACGACGCTTCCACGATAGAAAATTCCTTGAAAAATTATGCTACAAACTCTTATCATAAATTTCTTTACGAAATAACGCCTGACTTCACGAGGACTTGCGGAAGGGCAAACGGAAGACGCGCTTTGTACGAACACCTAGGAATAGGCGATAATGGAAGTCACTCCCTATGCGATCGTCATCTCCAACGAATCCTTCACCCACATTGACAATTTTAGGTATGTTAGACCGATTTCACAAGAAGTTCCCGCGTCCAGACCCATGAACAGATAGCTCATTCAATTACAGACAATAACGATCACAGACTCACCATAATCTCCAACCACAAGGGACGTTCGGACAAGCACAGTTCGCGCTCCGTATCGGGCTCCTGGTACTAGTCCGACGTAACTCCAAACGAAACCGATCGAATCGCCCTTAGCAACGTGACCAAATCACGACGATTCTCACATTTCAGAAAGACGCAGGCGAGTCCAGACAAAGCCAATAACTAGAGTTGATCAATGAAATTTCAAATCCTATAAAACGCATCGGATAGGAAAAAATCTTGACGAAGCATTCCGATCGTAGAATAAATTTTATTAGGGATCACTTCAAATTGTCTTTTACAAATAAAAAAAAAGTGAACTCCCACTTCCCCTACAAATCACGCCGCACATGGGACTTTCCCTATGAACTGGAATAATTCATCCACAAATGCTTCCCGGTTGGAACAGTCAGATGAGCCACAGGGTCACACCCTTCTGTACGTACATCCCAGAAAGCATGTAGTCTTCTTCAAATCACTTCGACTGTGTGGAAGTCACCATACGCAAGTTTTCTGCCCAGATTTAACATTGTACACAAATTGCAAAGTCCGCGGAAGTTTTAAAAGAGCACAGCTTAAATATTTGTGAAGCGGTGTCCACTGCCTCAGAAAGTCACATTCTTTTTTACCATTCTGGTCACAACGCAACCAAGAACGGAACAACTATCACAGGACTTGACAAAACCACAGAACAGCGAAAGAGGAAACTACAGATACAACTAGAACACGAAAAAATCGTTCTGAATGACATCATATTTAACGTCATTCGCTGTCGAATAAAACAAAATCAAAAAGTACTTCCGTAGAACAGAACAAACTTGTGTTCGGGGTCGTCTGAGGTGCAGGAAATGAGGGCATTGCCACAGAAGGAAAAAATTTCAAAAGAAATTCCTTCTAGAATAAATGGATGATCTGTCTGTCGTAAACTCCACACAAAACTTAAATTAGTCGAAGTCCTGACTGTCTCCCTCATTCTACGATCAAGAATACTTATAATCGTTTCCTCCAAGGATTTCCGGGCGGGAATCCACATGAGCCAAATTATTGAACATCTAGAAAATGATCACAACTGGAGACTTCATCCACAAACATCAAGAATCCCCTCCCCCCAAACAGGAAACCAGATATAATCATATCACAAATGCTGTTCATGAAATCCGAACTGGCTCCGCATGGTTATCAAAAGCACTAAACTCAAAGAAGATTAAGTATCACAATGCCTAACCCTACCCAAAACATCAAAACGGCTCGTCGGAGGAAACAGATTATGGTGAATGCCAAGCAACCTACAAATCAAGCTATACACCAGATGTAGCTTGACGAAGTCACCTTATTTTTGAATTTACTCTTTAATACTGGGTCCATTTAACGACAAAAGGTTGACAAAGAATGGGGAAGACAGTCCTACCTTCGCGGAGAAGATGAGCGATCTGTCCACAAAAACAAAACAAAAAATACAAAAGCATGTGACTATGAGGATAAATCCCCGCATTCACACACAGCTTGCGAGTCGAACGCTTCCCTGAGTCGAAAGCCTCTTATGGAATGGTAGGAAAGCGAGACATGACTAAACTGAAATCTAACAAAGATGGGGAAGAACAAAATTGGCTTCAAACAAGGCGTTCCGACAAGCAAAGCTGCTGAAGAAAAAAGAAATAGCAAACTCGGAAAAATCCTTCGACATACTTGTACTATTGCAAGGCCTTTTGGCTGGAAGAAGCACTGCGAGATCATATCAACTAAAGTGTATATGGCTCCTTGACATTTTGAACTCAGTTCAATAAACCACCTCCGTAGCCCATGCTTCTCCCATCAAAAGTTTGCTACTTGCTAAGGTTTCCACAGCCATTTTGGCAATTATGCAGCAGGATTCTCCAAGTTTAAATCAGACCGACCTTAAAAAAATCCGAAAATGGCGAAATGTGATAATCTTCTCCAGCAAAACAGTCCCGTTTGTTATGCATGAATGCCGCGGACGAAACACCTAACAAAAATAGGCGGTCAAGGGGCACAGGTGATTAATGTTTTTAGCATTCTGCGCGAACTCCAGTTTCTGTGCAAGGGCAGGCATCTTTGATTTGGTCACATAGTTGTAAGGAGATCCAACGGGAGACGCCGGAGGAGTGCGTTTGGAGAAACGCATACCGTGGTCCAAGATCGGCGAAGCGCGATTCCTCGGAGTATGCAAGCCAGGAGACTTGTATCCCTCGAAGGGATCGAGCATGTTCTCATCACCGTAAATTTGAGGAGACATCAAATGGCATATCGAGCCGGATTCGCCAATACGATACGAGACTTCGTTCGGATCGATCCACAATGTTAGGTCAGCCGGTAACACGCGCTGAAGCACATGATTTGGAACTCCGGAAAGCTCACCAGCCTCCGAAACGAGAGGATCGAGGAGCCCGTTGATACGGATGCACCGATACGCTGAACCTCTGCTCGGAATAGTCGGGAACCAGTGACCTCCGTATTTATGCTCGAGCAAGTTGGCCATTTTGACTTCGAACATCTTGATCTGAGGCTCGGAAATCAGATAGGCGTTCGGATTCTTTGTCACCAACTGCATCAAAAAGCGAATGGCACAAAAAATCTCTCGCTTCATTTCCGGAGCGATGTCCGAGAAGTATAAATCCATCGATGTATTATGCGAAACAGGCGGAAACCTGCGAAAATATTGGACGAAAATGTGCGTCAACACCGGTACAACGTACACACGGAACGATCAGAATTTAATGACGCACAGTACACATCTAACAGAAGCATGATCACCAAGTAACTCACATAGTTCTCCGAAAGCAGACAGCTTACACCACACGCTCTCAGATAAACACGTTCAAACAAGTGCCTTTCCCGACTAGATTCCTGTAAGCGATGAAAATAAGTATCAATATCGAGAAATATCAGCGCGAAGGAAAACGCATGTATTTTAAATCAAATACACTCTACATCGAAATCCAAGGAACCAACAAGTATGTTGCAGACAATCACTTGAACATGTATCGTAGAAAACCCTCACAGGACTACAAAAAGGGCTATCCGGAGAAAATCGTGGTAGAGAGTCCGACTGTACTACAATCCAGAAACAGCATCAAAAGCTTCAGGAGAAATCCAAGAATCGCACGATAGCTGAAGGTTATAGCTCAACATCGTCTGAACGATCTCAGCATCTGTACTCAGGAAACTGGGCAAGCTAACATTTCGACGATCAACGAAAACTTCGCGTACTGAGACGGTATTAGATTAGTTAACTATAATAAGATTGGATGAGACACATATAGGATCGTAAGCAAGAACCACGAGAGAAATACGGCTTGACTCGACAAGTTCGAACTTCAGTCACCACACTCGCAGCCATCTTCCTAACACACAGACAATCACTCCGACGTCTACTCCCATCGAACTCACGACGTACACTGAACAGTTGGAAAGCCACTTGCGCCCTCCATGCCATTGGAACGTTCAATGTTACCCACCCGGACGATGATTTAGCTCGCCTACCCAAGAAGTTACTTCAGTATCTTTGATACGCTCTTAGACACGGGTGGCGCGTTCAGTAGCTGTGAGCCCCTCCCATTTTTATGATGTCGCCCGCGCTCTAGGGCAAGTCGACTTCAGGAAATCGTGATTACCGGTGTATGAGATTTGACTGTCCGTGCTGCCGAACGTTCATGAAATGTTTTCTTTCTGAGTCTGATGCTTAAAATCTTGGATTATATTTAAATTTTTGTTCTCACCGTATTGCTCAGTTCGGGCGGCATGACTTACACGTTTGTTGCTTATTCTGCCATGATGTGTTCTGTCGTTCCAGATCAAATGAACTTATTCTCTGTTGGGGTACATCTCAAGTAAGATAGTGACATGTGATCGTAATCCGCTAGTCAGTTCAACTTCGGATTACGTACGATTGGATGGAAAGAACCCAGGCGGATCACTTTGAGTAATCTAAAATCACCATGAACGCCTACGATTTGTCTGATGCTTTGTCATCTGGAGATATTGTGCGTGAACGTGGTGTCAGCCGGAGTGAAGCACATCGCCGTTCAATTTCCAGTATGAGTACCTGTTCAATAACCTCGCAGAAGAGTTCTCGAGTTCCGGTGTCAACGCGCATCTTACGTCCTCCCTCCGCGCAGAAGCTTCTTCCCTCTGGTGAAAATGGATTCCCGAAGAAATCCTTATCGAATGTGCAATTTGGTCGGCTGAGGCATCTGACCAATCTACGTGATCGTGAGATATCCAACAATGTACCACTTGAACTTGATTTGGAAACTGACGATCATTTGGATGAACCTGACGTCAGTTTCGTGCGCGTGGCTCGTGTGTACGGTAGATCTGGTAATCGTCGTGGACATTTCTGCCATGATGACGACGATCGACGACGGATGGACTATGAAAGACATTGTGTATCCCCCTTGAACGTCTATCCCCATCGTGCAAGACGCGTGGAGAGTATACACAGGTATGCGGTTCGCTGTGATCGTGAAAATGATGAACGTCTTCAGAGACGCTTGATTGCTATGAACGATGGGATTTCGGATGGTCGATTTTACAATGCGTCTCGCTCCAGCAATCAACGACCGATCGATGGGAAAATTTTTGCGAATCCGATGGAATCAATGACTGTTCCTGCACGCACTTCTCGGCTTGCGAACCCGTCGCAGGTAGCATTCTTCAATACAATCAACGTCGGAAACTTGAAGGACAACATCTACTTTATCTCTGGAGACGCTAATTCCGAATCATCTCCGGCTGGATTGAAACGTCGACCGAAAGTTGCCCCGAATCTTCCTGGGTCACCGAAGAAACGCCGCTTTACTCCAGATGTATCCGAATGTTTTAAGTGTCCTGATTGCTCATTTATAAGTCTTTTCGAGGAGGATGTAGTGCGTCACGTGGAAGAATTTCATCAGGATGATTATCGTCAAGCAAGAAATCCTACTAGCATTGCTGACGTTGAAGTACGGTGCATGGATTGTTCTGAAATTTTTTCCTCGATCGGGGAATTGAAACGCCATGTTTGGAAAAGCCATGGTACAGGGAAAATCATGTTTCAAGCTGTCCCTGTTCAGGTTGAGAACTCCACGGTGTGGGACTCCGATGAAGAGGATAGATCCAACGATTCACCATTTTCACGAATTGATGAAGATTCACCTGCTTGTCATGAATGGTCACCCGTCTCTGAATATTCCGACAATATCGGCGTTGATTCTGAGCAGAACGATTCTAAACCGTCAATTGCTGATTCCGGACTTGGTAATGGCAGCGACTGTTCCTCGCCTCCGCCGGGTTCTTGCGACGCACGGGTGTTCGAATGTGGCGTTCAACATTGCCGGGTGAAATTTGCTTCTCTCGAGGATGTTCAGACCCATCGAAAATGCCATAAAGACGGCGTATTCATTTGTCAGACCTGCCAAGAAACGTATTCTGAATGGGTGAAGCTTTCTATGCACATGTGGAAGCAGCACTCAATCGACGTTGGTTTGCTCAAATGTCGTCTTTGTAAATTCAAGCATGCATCGTGAGTTGAATTGTTTTTGATTTCTTCGGAATAAAGCATTCACTTGCTTAGAGGTTTTCCATTTTCAGAGAAAATGGAATCAATGCTCATCAATCGGTGCATCAGCGGTATCAAATCCATTGCAGTATCTGCGACCGTAACTTCCGGAGTTCAGAATCATGCCAGAAGCACATGGTATTGAGTGCTCTTCTTATCAAAGTATAGCGTATCTTCTAATCGCTATTTCCATTTCAGGTGAAATTTCACCAAAGCGAGCAGATAGAATTCAGTTGCACGGACTGTCCTCGACGGTTCTTCAGCCACCGTCTGCTCATGCGTCATGTAGACAGAACTCACCTGAAATTGCGGGATTTCAAGTGTTCCGCCTGTTCGGCAACTTTTGTCGATAAACACCGTCTAGAAATTCACGTTAGGTCGCACACAGGTTCGTGACTCTTGGTATCCCTGCGTTACGTATACCTAATTTTCTGCTATGTCTAGGATCAAAGCCGCTGTGTTGTAATCAATGCTCATTTCGCACTCGCCATCCATCGAATCTTGCCCGCCATCTGAAGAACCACGATGGAGCAACACCGTACTCCTGTCCTGAGTGCTCCTTCAAGTCCATTCATCCCCATCCATTCAAGTCGCATGTGGCAAAAATGCATCCAGGTGAGATTTACTGTTCATTTTTTTCTGGAAATTTTTCTTTTTGAAACATACAGCAGAATACTGTGTAATGAGAAAAACATCCATGGAAGCCCAGCACAATACTGTATAACTGATGTATCTGTTCGATCTTGTTTGATTTTCAGACAAAGTTGCGACGATTCTCAGCGTTTGCCCGGTGTGCTGTAAGAACTACATGAACGCTGACACGCTTGCCAGGCATTTAGTAAGCGTTCATCCTGAGTATCGTTGCGTTTCTCCAAAAGTGCCTCGCGTGAGTCCTGGTGTTTTCGTGCATGATCTTATTTCATTTACGGTGTGTGATTGACTCGTTTAGGACGATACATCATCTGCTGCGATTTCCGAGCAAATCGGAAATGATCCAACTGCGTCCGCAGTCGGTGATGCTCAGACACTCACTGATGAATTACACGTTGATCCTGAGGTGGTCGAATGGTTTTTGACGACCCCTAACGGGAATATTGAAGTTCTACCCATGGGACACCCTGATTACCATATGTTGGACGCCGTTCCGGTAGGCGAATTGAACCTGAATCCGGAAAGCTTCGATTCTGAGTTGGATTTGAAACAGGTTCGTTGAAGTATGAATGTATCGAGGTGTTATCGTCCACTTTATCAAACTGAATTTCAACAGTTGACTGGAGATCCGCTCTTGTCGAACTCGTGTGAATCTGGAGGGCTTCCAGAAGGTGATGAAAATCGAAATGAAGATGTTCGAGATCTTCTCGAAATATTTGAAATGTATGGTGTGCCCCTGTGATGCAATTTGTTACTCCACGTACACGCAGCTCCGTGTGATGTGAGGGTTGTGATCTCGGACGAATGTTGATAAGTATATTAGGTTTTCTGTTCTCAGTTTCGACTTCATCTTCTCGCTGATGGTACGCGTAGACTGCACAAGTTGAGTTCGGTCGCTTTGTATAATGTTACTCCCTATGATGACGGGATCTAATGTTCTCCAGGTTTTTGGAGAGATGTGAATGTGTTGAAAAAGTCCCTTGTTGGCCGATGATTTGCGGTCAGAAACTTCTACGCTGTTGAGAATTCGAATACACTTATGGAGCGGACGAAATGCGCTGTTGAAATGGCTGACGTTTAACGCTTGTTTTTGCGCTATTAAATTAAGGCCGAAATTCAGAACGCTTTGAGATGTGGCTCGGAAATCGATGCCCGTACGCTTGAGGCAACTGAGGTGGAAGTACATTCCTTCCGCGTTCTACTCGGTTGGTTCCTTGTCGTCAACGCTTCTTTTTTGCTCGAGGTGATTTTTGTACGCGCTGCTGGAGGTGAACTGTATAGGCTTTCATTTTGTTTGCTGTAGAAATTTTGAGATAGTGTTCGTCTTGAGCTCGTGGTTTCTTTATTTTGTACAGTGTGATGCGAATACCCGTGTTGATGGCATGTGGTTGTCGATGGAGATTGAGGAAATCGGTGATGGTGTGGGTGTAATTTTGTTGAATCTAAGCCGGAACGCTTGAGTTCGAGCTCTTGAAGTGGCAAGTTAGGGCTGTATTTGACTTTCTGACGCGTTCAAGAGATGATGATTTTCGCCATGAGACTTTTTTTTCTTCTTTTTATTCCGGTTGCGTGTAAGATTGATTTCTTATGCTGCTCGTTCATCGGTGATCTCCTGTTGATGCCTTCGCCCGAATTAAAAGGCTTAAACTCACACAGAGTAATTGTCGTTCATTTCATCATCTTTTCGGACCACCTTCCATCTGAAGATGATTCTACGGTGTTCGTGTTCCTTCTCTTCGTTAGGCGCATTTATGAATGCTGATCAATTGGGCTGCGTTTGATTTGTCCGGAACCACAGAGAAACCGTCGATGATCTTTGTAGAAAGGACACGCTGATCCCCACTTGGAAAAATGAAACTGACTGCTGAAGGATTTGGAAGTGGGTAAAGTCCGGCACAAGTTTTCGTCGCCATTTATCAGCTGCGACGCAAAATCCACTTCAGAAGTATGCGCGGGCGATGCAAGAAATCCCTGGACTATTGATCTCTCTCAGTAGTACAATTGGAGAGAGAAATGAACCGATCTTACGGTACTTGTAAGGTTTTTCTTAAGGTTTGGATTCCGAAGAATTTTCAGCCTTTTCCTACGAACGAATCATGGTCAACCTCGGAATCATCTGTGAGTACCGTGACTCGACTTTCATTGACAATTTCCTGAAGTATGTCATACGTCCTATGTCGTGGACAACTTGAGGAGTTCGTGAGAAGTTTGATTTACGTGCGCAGTGCTTATTGTAATACAGTAATTCGTTTTCTAAGACGTCCGTTGGAATTCAAATGCAGTACAGTACTGTCATTGGAATAATTATTCGCGAACGTCGGGATGAGTATATGCTGTGGATCGCGCCAGTCGGCGTTTTCGGTTTTCAGCCCATTCCTTTTGTATCTCACGAAATCCAATAAACGTATGAGGGTCATTAATGAAGTGTCTGTTTTGGAAATATTATGGTTTATATATTTTATGTTTGAATTTCCGCAGTAATCAGCAAGACCAAACATGGAGAACCACTGAGTTAGTCATCGGCTGCACAAGAATGCAGTGTTCGTGTGTTGTTGCTTCATTTATGTCTCGTAAAAAGATGTTGATCCAATCATTGCCACCTTCTACCACACTTGTAGAATCAAAAACCCTCCGTCAAACCTCTGAGAATAATCCTGCTCTTAATATTTAGGATTCCGCGATCTTAAGTATGCGGACGATTTACCCGCTTGGCTGCTGTGTTATTGATTGTGGGGAAAACTCAACACAGAGAATCCAAACGTTTCTGACTGTCTTCCCGAATGCGTTAGAAAATACCTTATCTGGTGGCAGTAGCTAAAAATCTGCTGTTGCACCAAATGACATTCTGAAGCTTGTTGCTCATGTGAAGATTGCCAAATTTGCACCTCCCACTTCAATTTTGCTGTGTTGCTATTGTTTGGCACGTCTTCCCAGGTCTTCCATGGTAGTGGACATGTCTGCCATATTGATTCCTTTGATTCATCTTCATCTTTGCAACAAGTAAAAATTGTTCGCAAAACAAAAGTAGGCTATTCATACAAAAATAATTGATAGTCAAGTTATCAAAACAGTGAGATAAATATACAGTAGTCATAATTCCTGAAGTGAATTTTCAACTCACTGATGTCTTCAAAAATGTATTTAATCCCAGAGATATAAGCTGCAATCTCATTTACTGCATTTATCTCAATGTTTTCCAACTTAGGGGCTAGGTCTTTAAGTGGTCCATAAATTATAGCATAATGACAATTTGGTCTAAATTGGATAATCTGTGAATAAGGTAGGCATATTGTAGGAATTTCTGGTAGTTTGAGCATTCATTTCAGATTTGGAAAACTATTGAGTGATTCTACCCTTGTGAGATTCAACAGAAGCAAATTCATCTGCATCCAATTGCAAAACAAGATTTTGTGAAGTCTTTATTTTTTAAAGGACATTTAATTTTAATTGTAGATTCTAAATCACTGTTTGAATAGCCTCAATACAGTTAGTTGCTTTGTAAATAGGAGGTCTATGGAATTTGCATATCTTGCAAACTGTGTGCCCAGATTGAGGGATAAACAATCTGCTTTATAACAGAAACAATTGTCATTATCTGATAACATGTCTCATTCTAATTTTCCAGTCCAAAAATGCTTTTATGGATATTTGCTGGTCAGCAGGCCCAAAAATGTTTGGGAACACTGATCTAAAGTAATCTAACAGTCCTAAAAAGGTCTGTATGCCTTCAATATTCTTTAGCATGCAGAGATTATGCTCTGCTTTGGTTTTAACTGGGTTAACCATAATACCTGCCTGACTGATTGAAAAAAACCAAACTTCATAATTACAGAATCATTAAGTACTCTGTATCCACTTTTTGAGTTTGTAAATCCTGATGAACATTTCCCAATCCTGAGTTGACAGGCAGAGGTCCCAGTCTGGAGTGCTTGCAAATTTGTACTGTAACAAAACAATCAACTTTCATATATGTGGGATTTTTTGGCAGCAAAGCATTCAGTATAAAACAAAATTGGGATTCATGTCCCCTATCTGAATAATACAAGGACACAGAAATCAATGAATGGCATTCATAACATATCAGTACACTAAAAATGAAAAAAACTTGTGGTTCAAGCTTGTATGAGACAAGCTTGAACCAAACTCCTCAGTATGACAGAAAGAAATGAACCTTTTCTAAGCCTTTTCCACATTTGTGAAATACTCAGGGCAATATTCTAGTCATCAACAATATATAAGGGTAGCAAATGCACCCAAGATATCAGGTTTCACCCTCCATGTTTGAGTGTGCCAAATGTCCCCCTTAGGAACCCTTTGGCTCTGAGTAGAATGGGTATCAGGTTTCACAACATGTACAAAATGCTGCCTTTACAAGCATGATCCTCTGACGTATGCCAACCATCAGCTTCACCAAAGACAAATCCTGCATTTCCTTTCAGGGAGTCAAAGCATGAAGAAGGACCATTTGGTCCTGATGGAAAATAGTCATGGAACCTTTTTAATGAAAAGCCCATTAACAAGCTCAAAATATCCCCCTGTTACTACCCAGGAAACCCCAGATATTACTTTTAACAGAAAGTTCCATTTCTCTTATAATACAAAATTATATGGAAATTGACATCCAATTATGTAGTAGTTTGGAAGCTACATTGACTCATATTATAATTGCAATGGAGTAACGTACCTTCTGTAATCACACAGGCCCCTCAACTACTAGTACTCAAACTGAATTTTAGTGCTAGAATTGAATGGACTTGTTGTAGTTATTTGCAAGGCGTTTCAGTCTGGTGCATGTTGCTCATACTTCAACCCACTCTTAAGTGGTTGAGATCTAAAATAACCTAATTTGGTCACAAAATTAGGGTCCAATATTGCCAAACTGGTGGAAATTCTCCTCTGCAGCATGCAGTATTCCAATATTGAAGAAGGGAGCTCCAAAAGACAGGCCAACACAGGAGGTACTCTAATTCAAGTCTCAATTGTAAAGCATAGGTAAACATCTGAAATGCAACAGAAGTGTAAGCAATTCTATTTAGACACAATGAACCTAATTGATGCATCTAAAATGTGATGGAAGCATATGTTATGCATCTGAAATGCCACAGCAGCGTAAGTGATGCTTCCGAAACTTGACAAAAGCATAAAAATGCACCTGAAATGCAGCAGAATTTTAAGAAATGCTTCTGAAACATGATGGAAGCATAAGCAATGCTTCCAAAACTCATTGGAAGCACAAACAATGCTTCTGAAACTCAACGGAAAGCATACTTTGCCCAAAGGAAAATTTCATATCATACTGTAAGTGCTCCCAAGTACAATTTTGACCTGGTTAACAAACTTCTTACCATATACATGAAGTACATCGAGGTTTTCTCTACATGCAAGGAATCAACTGAGATAGCAAACAAAATATGTCTCTATGCATGATTCTGATATAAGTTTTGACTTCTCAAACCTATACATGAACTTCAAAACAACTTTAGTATGCAAAATGGAGACGAATTAATTTCCCGACAAATGAAGCATCTGGGAATGATTCTTACACCAGATTAAATATCAGTACTTTAAATTTAATGATGTACATACAGATATAGGTCAGTCCACGAGGGTTTAAAGGAAGAATCTGTGACAATTAAAACCAAGTGCCTTGAAGTCCTAAACATCGATCAGTTTTCCAAGCAACTGTACTTTGCACAGACACATCATAAGAGGGCAATCTGCAAGATGCTTCACAAAGTGCAGGCATGAAGAATCAAAGCAACTTCCAACAAATTTTTCTCACAAAAGCAAACGAATAGCCTTTGTAAAACAAAAATGACAAACATATACAGTACAGTACCAGCAAAGGTTATAGGAGATCCAAACGGAATTATTGTACTGAAAGTTAAGTTTACATTCAATTCTGCCAAAAATGCAATAATTGAGAAAAAATCAATCAGAAAAGTGTCTCATGCGGAAAATTTCATTGATTATGGGTGCAGGTACCATATGTATATTATACCAAAGGATATTTTTAGCAAAACACAAAAAATAGTACTAAGAAGATAAATAGCCCAGATCTTCCTTGGAATGGCAATATCTTATGCAGTAATTATGTGGCCGGGAACGGCACGTGGTCCCGCCTGTTCAAGCATTCTCGCATTAAGCCGAGGAAGTGGGAAGGACAAATTGGAATCGCCGCCCGGACCGGAAGCCGTCGCCTCCGGGCGACAAAGCCGGGGCGTTTAGATTTTAAAAGCAACAGCTTGTCATGACAGACCTCATTAGCGGCATATCGGCGTGAGCCGCAACCCTTGCCGCCGGCTTCTTTCTTTCCGCGATTCCCCCCGATTGCGGTGAGAATGACGTTCTTGAAATCCGACCTGCGTTTGACATTTTTGGACCGCGGCAGTCGGCGTCAATGCTCATATCCCGAACAAGCTTTCCCTCCTTGGACGCCGCAGGGTATTCTTCCGCTCTC